TGCTCAGCTCCGTGTCCGCCACGCCCTGTCACAGCGTGTACAGGACGGGGATGCTAACGAGGAGGAGAAGGCGATTGCTAAGAAGAAGACTTACCGCAACTACGGTTTGGATCTGACGAAGGGACGGGTTCACGACACTCTGAAGGCCGGTGTCCTGGAGCCTAGCATGAGCAAGATCAAGCAGCTCAAGAGTGCCGTGGAGGCTTGCATATCCATCATGCGCATTGACACGATCATCAAGCTGGACCCCGAGCAGCCGCAGGATGATGGCCACGGCCACTAAGCCTGATCTCATTTTGACTACCCCAATCCCAAAAAAAGGCAGTAATATGATGTGACATAGATGATCAGCAGTAGTAAATTCTCATTTCTGCTGCAACTGCATATGAACCAATTTCTCGCAAAGTAGATACATGAAACCCGTAGCCCTAAACAACCATTCTACTAGATCTATATCCCTCACTGCCGCTTGGCAGCCATCAGTTTCCGGTATTCCTCAACGATATTCCTCCGCTCACTAGCCAATTCCTCACGGCGTCTCAAACTTCCGACAGCAGCAGGCACATTGGCAACATCAACCTTAGCCCCACCACGCACTTTAAAGATCTCCCGGGGTTTAACCAACTGAGGCGGCGCCTTCGCAACCTCAAATGGATTCTTCTTCCGCTCCTCGTCACGCTTCTTCAGCTTGGCCCAAGGGTCAGGATCATCGTCACCGCTATCATCGGCATTCGTCCCCTTCTTCTTGTTTCTCTTCGCAGCAGCCTTCTTCTTTCCTCCAGCAGCCTCAATCTCCCACTCCTTCCACTGCCGCAACTCAACCTCCATATCATCCTCCCGCTCTTCCCGCTCCTCCTGCTCTCTCGCCCGGATCTTAGCGTCCTCCTCACGCCACCCCTTCTGTAGCCGCAGCAGGTGCTTCTCATGCTTCGTCCGCTTGTGTTGCTCCTTGTTCTTCGCGTCGCCCGTCTTGACCGACTTGGTCATCTGCGACAATGGCATTTCGCGGTCAACACGTGCTACAAACTCGGCTAGCCTCTCGCCAGCCATGATCTTGGGCATTTCGGGCTTCTCCTTGGCGGCGGGTTTGGGTTTTTGCGTTTCCGCTGCCTTCGCGGGCTTCTTCGATGACGAAGTTGCGTCTTCTGTGGCATTGCGCTTGCGCTTGTTCGGGCGCTCGCCCGTCTCTAGTCCCGATGGTGCCCGTCGACCTGTTTGCTGGTATTGCATTAGGTGCCGGAATGCTCTCGGGGTGTCGTCTTCGGTGACATTTTTGAGGCGGTGGGTGGGTGCTTTGTTGGCGCTCTGGTTTTGGTCTTTGCCTTGGGCCTTGAGCTTTTTGCCGTTCTTGCCTAGCTTGGGCTTGACTACATCACGGACTGGGAGTGCTTTTGCGATCTCTGAGGGTGGGAGATCGAAGTGGCTGACACGAGGGGAATCGTTAGTTTTGGGCTTTGAAAAGACCTGGTATGTTTCTAGTGCTCACGCTTTATCGGCCTCGCCGCGTCTCTTGTGTTTGTGAGGCATTTTGGGTGGTTTTGCAGTGGAAGATTTGAGGATTGGAGTTGTTGGCGGAACTTTTTTCATCGAGGTTGGCCTTATCTTATCGCTCTATATGGGCGACCACAACGTAACAACCCCGGACATTTCTACTTCTACTTCATATTCGCCTTTAATCTCTGTTTGTTAGCATACTCCAGGAAGACATGTTAGAGTAATTAGAATCGATGAATGATGGACATGTTTGCTTCAATCAAATAACACAAATAAGCCCGAAATAAAGGGTATGCTACGCTAATTAATATGCCCTCCCAAACGCCAGTAAAATGCCCACAGGCAAAAAAGAAAAGAAACATCCAAACACCTCGGAAATGCAAAACAATAAAAAGCACAGACGACGCCAGGGAATCATTCGTCTTCGTCGTCAATTGGGTCTTTCATATCAGCCCAGCCGCACATCCAGCGTTTACCCTCAGTTTCACCACCGTTTCGAAGCTCGCGAGCCTCGGATCCCTCACGCCAGCATCGAGCGGAGTAGTCATCACTCACAGTAACGAGTTCACCAGATGGGGTCCAGGACAGACCAGTGACCTCTTTCTGGTGACCTTCAATAAGAGGAGTGCCTGATTGGTGGATTGGGATGGTATCTTCGAGGCGCCCGGACAACCCTATTCCAGAGTTGGTGCGACGAAGTCCTGAGCGGGTAGTGAAAAGGGAAGTCCTGCTAGGCAGAGATTCGGCTGGTGTCTTCACGGTAGAGTTGAGGTACCGTTCATCGGTAGGGAAAAGAATGGGGCAGTGGTCGCTGCTCCCAGTAGCTAGCATCTCCGGATGATCGTGGCTTGCTTTGCGCACAGCCAACTTCACATAGAACGAGGAAATTTGGAGGCGAGGGTGGCGGAAACCATATAGAGGCCCAAGACCGTCCTTGTCGGAGCCTCCAGTCCTTCGTGGACGGTTGTTGTTGAGTGAAAGTTCAGGCGCATGCCCGAGAATTAAGTGTGATGTGGAATATGTGTAAACGGTATTGTCTCGGCAAAGTGTGTATAAGCGTGAGCCATCTCCTCCAAATGCCATGGAAGTCAGACCAAAGCGTCGATACTTCACATGGCTTTCTGGCTCTTGAGTTGTAGATAGAGGGATGACGGGTCGACCACGACGATTGTTATGTGCTGTTCGCAAGTCCCAAAGTCTGACACTTGCGCTAGCCTCAGAAGCCGTGACAAAAAGATTTTCGCGACCGGGCGAGAGAAAAGCGAGGGAAGTAACGGTGATATCGGTCCGGCCAATTGGTGGCGCGTCATTTTTATCCATGGTCGGTTTATGAGAGGTTGTGTATGCATGGGCCCCTTCAATGGTATTTAGAACATGTGGGTATAACATCTTTGGAGGTGTAGTGGTTGCAGTGTTTTCGGTTTCAGATTCCAGGGAGCATTGGACTTGCAACGCAGGCCGTTCGAATCCTTTGCAGCGGAGATCCCAAATATTAACATTTCCATCCCGACTGCACGTAGCAAGAACCTTGTTGTTTGATGCCGGTTGGAATTGGACCCGCTTAACGGAGGATGAGTGATTCGATAAGCAGTGGATGGGTCGTTGTGTTGTCATATCAATAATAAGAGAAGTTTGGTCGCCAGATGCCGTAGCTAGTAGCATGTCATCCGATGAGAACTCGAGGTCCATGATCGAATTCATGTGTGGACGGAAGCCAAGGTATGCGTCAGAGAAGCCAGAATCCTCATTCATTGATGAATCCAAGAGCCGAATTCCACCCTCTTCATCGCCCACTGCAACAAGAGAATTTGCTTCCCATTTGTTAGCATATACAAGGAGCAGTCAGGTGAAATATGACTTACTGTTGCATGAAGCATTACAGAATGGGAGGGCCACTGAACCCTCCGATGCGTAGCTCCCACACATGTGACGGTCTTGCGATTGCGAATAGAAGTTGGAAGTAAGATCTTGCCAGCCTAGAGAGAAGATTAGAGGTGTACAAGTAAGCCATGGGGGTGAATACCAACCAGCGCCAGAGTTAGATCGTAGGGTTACTTTATTTGCCCGAGCCCCCATCATAGTTCGCATAAACAAAGCACCAGATGTCTGCAATGCCTGGGAGCGTCGCACAGGGGCCACGGGGCGATTTCGCTTGGGTGGACTCGGTGGTGCTAAAGCATCGTGACAGATGTCGATGTTTGGAATTTTAATATCTTGTTCCACGTCCTGCGTCGGAGACCGGACACGAACTCTCTTCAGAGGCGAGGATTGCGGAGATACGACTGAGGAGAATGAGTTCTTTCTTTTCCGGCTCGGGGTGCGAATAAAGTCATCTGGTAAGCCATCGTGAGGACTTCTGGTACTGCCAGCCTTGGAAGTTCTCGAAAACGCTGGTCCCAGACGATTCACCGCGGGGGATGTCAGTGCCCGTAAGGCCTGGCGGCTGGTTGAGGGCGTGATAGATGTATCCCCAATCGGTAATAAAGAACGTGGGGTAAAGAATCGACGGAATGACCGGGGCGTTACAGTCGGTGGCTTTCTGGTTCTGCGAGTGTCGGAAGCAATAGACGGCGGGGATGAGGGAGGTTCTGGAGGAGGAAGGACAGGTTCTGATCGGGGTACCTCCGGGAGATTGGAGATGTCCATTGTGTGTTTAATAAAAAAAGGCAGAAAGAAAATAAAAAGGCTATGGATGCATCGGTGGAGGTCTGGGCGGGCTAAAGACTAAAGGGGACCGGAGATGAATCGGGGAAGTTGGATCTTTTTTTTCGTGTCGCGACGTGACGCGATCGTGTTCAAGGCATCTAAGGCATTTTACCCCCCCTCCACTCTTAATGTCAACATCTGGAACTCCTTCAATCCAAACTTGGAAGTTATTCCTTCTTTAACGGTTACCTAACGCCAAGTTGGCTTGGACTAATCCCTAGGCTCAATTGTTTTGATTTTTTTGTCTCAAAACGCGTGGAATCACTAGGCATCTAGATGATCTTGATGTCAACACTGTTCAATTCCAGATAACCACTACATTTGTTTTCTAAAATTAACCGTTTTATGGAACATTAGAACATCAGATATTAACCCTGGCTTAAAATTGGAATGTCCTGCTGCGCCATTAAGCAAGTAGGTCAACAATGATGGTGTAGACTTCCAAGCCCTGGAGTAAATAGTTGCTTATGTAATATAGTATGGAACAGATTAGTTAGAGAAGACATAGGTTGCTCCACGAACGTTCCTATATTTCTTATTTCTTTGGAAATTTACTAGTATTGCTAGTCTCGTATAGATTCGAGTCAGATTGGGACTGGAGGATTAATCTTCTAGGATAGTGATAGTCTTACAAGAAAAGATGAGAAATATAGAGGATCAAATCAACTTGATGGGTAACGAGAAGTAAACAGAGACATGTGAAGTAAACGATTGAAACATAGCTTGAGGCACAAATTTTCAGGGGATCCCCGTCAGCCCCGTTTATTCCTCCACCCACTTGTGCTCTTGGGCATTGCAATTCAAAGATATGTCGCATCAACTTTGGATTTTTCTCGTTGCAAGAATTGTTCAAAAGTCCCTAGCGGGATATTCCACGCCTTGACCTTGTCGAAATCCACAAATGATCCTAGATCACGGGCCATGAATTGTCCAGCAATGAAGGGATTGGTAGCCTTCTGTTCGCCGATTTCCTCATCTGACATATAGACAACGCTCATCTCCCTTCCAGTGGCATGGGATAAAGACTGGATTATGGCGTCGACTCCTAGGAATTCTGAAGTGATCTCGATTTCTTGGTGGTTGAACTTGACGGGATCGAAGACTGCTGCTGCAGCAAACTGGCCGATGTCGTTGGGATCAACCATGGGCAACAAAGTATCAGGAGCGAAAGCAGTGGTGAATACTCCGGTTTCCGTGAAGCCCTTGTACATCATGGCCTTGGGGGACAAGAAGTTGTTCATGAAGTTCCCCGGGCGTAGAATTGTCCAGCTTTCAAATCCCGCTTTGCCGATTTCGTTTTCAATGGCCGATTTGTTGAGTAGCATGGTGCTGATGATGCTGGTCGGATCCCATGATTTGAGGCGTTGGGGATCATTGGCAGACATTGCACTAGCATAGATAACTTGCTTGATTCCAGCTTCCCTCGCAATTTTGAGAAGTCGGCATGCTTGTTCGAAACTTGCGTTCAAATCTGTCAACGCTGGCATCAAGTTCAGGAAAAGGGTTGTGCAATTGGCCATGGGCTTTCTGACGGAATCATCGTTGTCAAAATCGCCTTCCGTGATGATTACGCCAAGTGATTTAAGATGTTGAGCAGCAGCCGAGTCGGGGCTGCGTGTAACGGCATGTATTTTGACATCAGCTTTGAGCAAATGGTCAATTAAAGCGCCGCCCTGGGTACCAGTGGCGCCGCAAACGAAGACGGTCGGAGAAGACATTTGAAGTTCAGAAATGAAGAATGAGGAGGCTTTGTGCTTGCAATTTCTATATTGAATCTGTGTGCAACATACGTCTTTATATATCCCACTGTGTCCACGTTGACACTTGACACTTCCAAGGTTCAATGTATACATCTGGTGGAACTCCACTCGGTCCGCATCTGTCCCGATCCCGGAGCGACTTCTGATTGGTAAACCAAAGCCTCAGTCCACTAGCGGGCGGAATTCCGCCTCAGACCCACTGACAAGCGTGGAACATTTCTCTTCCTCAACCTTTTCTTCGAGAAATAGAAGTCCCAAGGAGGTGAAGATGCTTCACACTGCAGGTCAGACCACAACAACCTCGCGGCGGAAGTCATGTGAAGCATGCAAATCAGCCAAACGGCGCTGCGACCTATCATTTCCTGTCTGCTCAAGATGTATCCACAAAAGCATACCATGCTTTTACCCAGGCAGGCTGCCTCAAACCTGTGCCGATTTCATTACTGCTATTCCGTCATCTGCAAATTATTATGAGATGATTGACACCGCGTCTACTCAATACAATCTTGACTCTGAGTTGATGACCCCGGTCAATATGGGCCCACTTCATCCTATTATGATCGACTCGCCCTTCCGTTACATCGATATAATTTCCCCACAAGATCGTGTGGATGTCTTCGAGGGCCTTTCCTCGTCGCAGAACTTCGATCCCGCCATGACAAGAACGAATCCTCCGAAGCAGCTCTCAGATGTATTAGCCAATCGACTACAATTCGCGGTGGATGTGCTCCGGAACATCCCCAAAATGGTAGTCACCGAGAACCAGACTCCATGGTGTCACGGTCAGCTTTATAAAAGTGGTATGCCGAAGGACATGCAAGGTTGGTTCACCGATATCAAATTTTCCTTTTACAACAAATTACCATACTAACCTTGTCATAGATGCATTCGCTTGTTGTTCTCTCTACATGGCCAAAAATGAAATAAATTCACCGGTTTTGATGTCAATCTTCGATGCTCGCATAAACGATCTTCTCTCTTCACCACCGCCAACCACGCCACTGGAACTGCTTGCTCGAATCCACGCGCTTGTTCTATACTTGATAATGCGTTTATTTGACGGTGGCATCCGCACACAACCATCCTCGGAATCCCTATTGGCTCTACTCGAGGCATCGGTACTATCTCTTTTCAACTGCATCCATATTCCACTCCCCTCACAGCCCTACGAGCTACTACCTATCTCCATGGAACCAATAATGAGCTTTTGGGAATCATGGGTATTCCAAGAATCAGCGCGGCGGACTGTGATGATGGTGTTCTACTTTGTGAAGATCCAACACTTCTTACAAGGAAAGCCACTCTCCACCTGTGATGGGAAGCTTGGACTCGAGCATGCATGGTATCAGTCTGCGCATTTATGGAATGCACAAAGTGCCTTCGATTTCGCAGTGGCTTGGACGGAAAACCAACACTTTATTGTGTATAATGCAGATTTTACAGGACTGCTTCAGGAAGCGAAGCCAGACGATGTGGACTTGTTTGGGAAGATGCTTCTTATGACTAAATTGGGGATTGACGAAACAAAAGCTTGGTTTTATTCAAGGGGCGGTGTGTTATAAGCAAATACAACGCCAACAATACCACAGTTATTTTTTTAGCGTTGCCCAGGTCTTTCTTGTTTCTTCACACTTTAGTTTACACTCTATCATGACACAGGCACAAGCTTGGCCCACCGGCTGATATCCGTTCGGCTGCCTCACGGACCGCCATTGCCGGCTACTAGCCCACCGGCTGCTAGTAGGGAAAAATAATTACATTTCCAAGTATGAAGCAGATCTCCAATTGATATTTTAATGTTATAGATTCTCGTGCAACAGGATCAAAAATTAACAAAAAAAAATAACATCATCAAGCAATATGGCACCTGTTAGGCTCCCGTCGCCAACCCTCGACAACCCACCAAGTCAAATTGACGATGTCACAAGTCAAACGGCAGAATCTCACCCGAATTTGGTGATATTCATGCCAGATCAGCTTCGTTATGACTCCGTTGGCTGTTTCGGAACCCCCCATGTTCGCACACCCAATATTGACGCCTTCGCTGCACGGGGGACCAAATTCACGAATTGCTATTTGCAAGCCACCGTGTGTTCACAAAGCCGATGTTCACTCTACACAGGACAATATCCACATGTATCAGGCCACCGAAGTTTGGAAAATCTCATCAAGCCCTGGGAACCCAACATGTTTCGCGCGCTGAAGGAAAGCGGATACCACGTTGCATGTTTGGCTCCTAGAGGCGATACCTTTGCACCCACGGTCACAGAGTTGAGTGTAACTGAGTACGGCTTCCTTGTCCCGCCGGAGTGGATGCCGAAGTTTGGAAAGGGACACGCAGAACCGGATGTGTCAGAAGATATCTGGGATCGTTTGTTCTACAAGGGTCTCCGCAGCCAGGACAAAACAGTGGACTATGATGAAGCTGCTGTGCGATCTGCTATAAAGTGGCTAGAAAAGCCTCCTCAGGGTCCATGGGTTCTTTACCTACCGTTGATCTTCCCTCATTGTCCATTCCAAGTCGAGGAACCGTACTTCTCCATGTATGACCGCAAAAAGATGCCAATTCCAACCAAACCAGAGCAGAAAACAGGCTATGAACCGAGATATTTTGAAGAGAATCGCAAGCGTTATGGCACAGAACGGGCAACCGATGAAATCTGGGCTGAGATTACAGCGACATACTATGGAATGATCTCTCGTCTTGATACGCAATTTGGGCAGGTCATGACTGCATTGGAAAGTACAGGTTTGGCATCAAACACGGTCACCGCATTCTACACCGACCACGGGGAGTACCTTGGAGATCATGGTATGATTGAGAAGTGGCCCAGCGGCGTGTCTGAAGTTCTTGCTCGCGAACCTCTCATAATAGGCGGTGCCGGCTTACCTGTCGGTAAAACCAATGATGACATTTGTGAAATGGTCGACCTACTCCCAACTGTTCTTGAGCTGTGCAAGGTCTCTGAGAGCTTTCCACACAATGGCGTTTCGCTCCTGCCGGCAATACTCGGGATTCGGAAGCACCCAAAGCTTTACGCATACACCGAAGGGGGCTTTCTTAAATTGGAAGAGCCGCTACTTGAGCAAGCGCCCTATCCATATGATATCAAGTCTATTCTGCAACATGAAGATACTGAGATCGTTGGAAAAGCAGTTTCCATGAGAAGTAAGGACTGGACGTATGTGTATCGGCTGTACGAACCAGCCGAATTGTACAACAGGAAGACCGATATCGCTGAGCTTCACAACGTCGCTGCAGATCCACAATTTGACCATATTATTCGAGAGATGCAGGCAGAGATGTTTAGATGGATGATGCAGACCTCGGACTTTCTCCCATTTCAAAAGGATCCTAGATTTCCTCCGGTGAACCTTGAGAGCCCGGGGGAACAATATAGGAAGAGGACTGAAACAATCTGAGTGGCATGGGAATTTCCAAAATCATTTATATCAATTGATATTGAAAGAGTGCAATGAGGTCAGTATCAACAGTTTCCAGGTCATTAGGCATTATTTATTCTTAGTATAAATCCAGGCTCATCCAATGTTATGCTTGATCCCCATATAATTGTTCAAGATCTTGAGAATCAAAATTCATAGATGGTCCCCCAAATTCATCAAATACAGTATCCAGTGAGCCAAACATGTGCTCTGATTCGAGTCCCGTATACCACAGAGATTCCTCTAAAGTTTTACCCCTCGATGGTTTCTCTACTGTTCTTTCATTGGCATCTGATTCTCTGTCTGATGGTACTTCCGATCCGGTCGGAGTGGTGACAGGAGGGCTTGCTGGGCACTGCCGAAGGACTTCCTCTCCTCGCTCAATATCGTGCCGACGAATGCGAGCTAGAATATCGAGTATGTTGTTGTCACGGATGTGCTCTGTCTGTGAGTCTTTTGTCACCGAGTCGGGTTGCGTCTCGTGCCTTGGGTAGGAACCCCCAGCAATCGCGGTGCTTATGAGCTTTTCGGTCTCTTTGTACTGAATAATGAACCATAATGAGCATTATGCTTTAGAATACAAAGATGCTGACAGGCCGTTCCTGCCAAGACATGAAGTGTATAACTCACCAATTGGGCAGCGAATTGATTTACTGCGGTAATAGGTAAGAGTATCTTTGTAACAGATTTGAGCTGGTAAAGTAGCTCAATGGCGGTTGACTGACTTCCGAGAAGCCCAATATCAAAAGCTCGTATCAAAATCCGTGTGCATTGAAATACACAAATGCTAATCCCCGGATCTTGTGGAGTTTGATCGCCAACCTTCTGAACCATTCTAAAAATATCGACGAGTGCCTTTGCATGTTTCACTGCCCGTGTTTGACAGTAAAGTGTATACTCAGGTAGCGTCGTATTGAGAGCTTCATCGGGCAGGGACTCCCGAATTCCAGGTAGCATAAATCTGTACAAGTCACAGTGACATTGGTGCCACATCGTATGTAACATAACGTATCGCTTCAAATGTGGAGAGTAAGCTCGTAGGTTAAGGTTACGCTCACTAAAGGCCATTGATTCAGGCAGTGAGTGTTTCAAATTTTGTAAGTCAGATTCCAGTTGAAGAAGCTCAACATGAGAATCGTGTGCTTTTGAACCTTCTGAAATTACTCTCCTGGTGTACCTAAGCCTCAGTCAGCATTGGAAATAGTAATTCTCGCTGTAATATTCCTCACTGAAGGATTTCATGCCGAATATTAGAGAGCTGGCAAAAGTATGCTCTGGTGCCCATGCTTGTGGAGTCACCTTCATAAATATGCGTTGGTATAAGAGTACTTGTTCCGCTAGAAATTGCGAGCTCAAAGTCTCTCTCGTTTGATGGCAGTTGTATGTGCATTTGCTCCTTGGGACACGATATCAGGTCCGACTGTCCGGCCGCAAGTCGTTTATCCAAGATGAATATCGACCACATAATACGCCGACGAATTTCGCGAGCTGTGGTGGATAGTTGGGTGTTTTCATGATTCAGTCGGAGCATATATGCCATCTTTGCAGCGATTCCTAGCAGCGGCTGCAAAGCGAGAAATCGGGACAATGCACAATTTTGGGAAATTACCACCATGAGAACTTGAAGTGCGACCATAGATGGTCGTCCAATATTTGACCAAACATACGCCTCTGCTTCAGTACGCCATTTTCCTCTTCGTTCAGCTCTGGCGGGATCCGCGGACACGAAGGCCGCCGATGCACTACAAACTGCCTTCAATAACGCTGGTTCGACCGTTCCAGAGTTCCAGGCTTGTAGAAAGATAGCGCGGTGAATGAAGCCATTCTCATAAAGCGGTGCGATGTGTTCAAAGTAGGCGCCGATGTAGAGCCTGACTACACTCTTCTCCACTTCAAGTTCCTTGCTCGAGTCATAATTCACCCCATCGCCATGGGTTTCTCTGGGGGAAATAATGTCCTCGGCCCTTGTCCTTCGCGGTGGTAAAGCCTGAAGGGAATATCCTGCACTCACTGTCTGTTCAGGAGATATCAACGGCGATAACAGTGGGTGATCGTGCTGAATCTCACTTGATGCAATGGCTCTTCGCCTTTTTCGTGTCCCAGAACCCGGCTTTGAGGATGCATAGTCGCATGGCATCCCTTTTTGGCTGCATCGCTGACAGGCAGGCAACGACCCGGAACATTTTGCCTTAAGCAGGTGACACGGCCTACAAGCTTGTCTGGTACGAATACGTTTTGTTCCACTTTGCGTCAAGTGGGCCTCCGTGCTGGGAGCCTCTGCCGGGGACGTCGGGACCATTTCCAAGAGTCCGGTAGAGTTGTGTCTATCTAAGAGCAAGCGGCTATCAAACACCGGCAAACATTTTGTGTTTCCCAGGGGCCGGGGCGTTAAGAAGAATATATATAATTGCGTGCTCCGCCATATGGATTGCGACTCCCTAACCGGAATTTAACCGAGGTCTTTGATCAATCACTCAAAGGTTGTATGCAGTCAATATATTTCCCTATGGATCCTAGTTAATGTATACCCCTGGCTTATCTGATGGACTCAAATATCCGAATTTCTCTTTGGTGAAAATTGCGTGCTTTTTGCCTCTTTCTAGTTGGCGGGTAGTACGAAGACTTATAGGACTCAGGGTTCAAAACCCCTTTTATAGTTAGGTGGTTTAGTGCCTGAACGCCTGACTTTAGAACGGCAAAAAAATTAAGATTCCTGAATTACTATTACACATATCTTCATAATC